TTATGTGGTGCTGAGGAATCGAACCCAGGGCCTTAGGCATGCAAGGCAAGCGCTCTACCACTGAGCCACCTTCCCAGCCCCCTGTCCATGAGTTTTTGTGCTCAAAGTTAGAACTTTACAAGCTGAGCCACAGCTCCACTTCTGGCTTTTTTTTTTTTTTTTTTTTGGCTAACTGGAGATAAGAATCCAATGGACTTACCTTCCCCAGGATGGCTTTGAACTGTAATCCTCAGTTTACTGAATAGATTACAGGTGTGAGTCACTGGCACCTGACAAGTCTGGGTTCTTATACATGCTAGTAGTTTGATATTGAGCAATGTAGCTAAAATGTACATGACTCAGTTTCCTCAATTATAAAGTTAGTATTAAAAATAACATCTACTCCCTAGGGGTGTGGTCAGCATTCCACAGTGCCTATGAGTACAGTATAAAAGCCTTGAATAAAAATTTGAAGCTGAACTGTTCACAATAGCCAAGATTTTATAGAAACAACCCAGATGCCCCACCACAGATGAACAGATGCAAAAATTGTGGTACCTATATACAATGGAATATTTTGCAGCCATTAGAAAGGACAAATTAATGTCATTCACAGGGAAATGGATGGAACTAGAAAAAAATAATTTTGAGTGAGGTAAGTCAAGAGCAAAGAGACAAACAGCACATGGTCTCCCTGATATGTGGATATTAAATCCAAAACATAAGGAGATAGAACAAAGTAAACAAGATTTGAGAAACAAAGGACCTCCACTAATCTGGTCATATCATTACTAAATCACCCCATGCTGCTGACCACATATATGGTATATATGTGCACACGTGAGGGAAACTAGGAGGAAGACACAGAAACAGAGGGAAACAGGGGAAAACATACACAGCAGGACCCATCAGATGCACTACATTGATCAAAACGAACTAAGCAACTCAATGGCAGTGATGGGAGGGAGGGAATGAGAGGGAAAGAGGCCAACACTAAGCCAAAGGAAAGAAATGTACAGATCACCCGAGTGGAAGAACAGCTGTATTGTCAAAGCTCATGGAATTCACAAACTTTATAGACTATGATAAAGACAATTTGCCCCATGAAGGTTAGAATGTGTTTGTGACTTTACTAAGTATCTCTATCTCACAAGACTATGAAATTTTTTAATTTATGTAATCACTTAAGCATAATAAAAAAATAGGAGTTTAAACTATAAAAAATTTTTTTGAAGCTGAGCACCAGTGGCTCACACCTGTAACCCTAGCTACTCAGAAGGCTGAGATCTGAGGATCATTGTTTGAAGGCAGCCCAGACAGAAAAGTCCATGAGACTCTTATCTCCAATAACCTATTCAGGAAAAGCTGGAAGTGGCACTGTGGCTCAAGCACTAAAGGGTTAGCTTTGAGCACAAAGAAACTCAGGAACAGTATCCAAAGAAACTCAGGAACAGTGTCCAGACTCTGAGATCAAGCCCCAGGATTGAAAGGGGAGGGGGAGAGGAAAGAGAAAGAGAGAGAGAGAGACAGAGACAGAGAGAAGAGAGAAAGAGACCGAGAGAGAGAAGAGGGGGGGAGAGAGAGGAAAAAGAGAGAAGAGAGCGAGAGAGAGAGAGAGAGAGAGAGAGAGAGAAGAAAAGAAAGTAAATTAAGCCAAACAGGCACCAGTTGCTGATGCCTATAATCCTATCTATTCTGGAGGCTGATATCTGAGGGTCATAGTTCAAAGCCAGCCCAGGCAGAAAAATCCATGAGACTCTATCTCCAATAAACTAACCCCCCAAAAAGCCAGCAGTGGAGCACTGGTTCAAACCAGTGACAGAATGCTAGACTTGAGCAAAAAGAAGCTCAGAGACAGTGTCCAGGACCTGAGTTCAAGCTCCAGGATTGACAGAGATCTGAGAACCATGGTTCAAAGCCAGCCTTGAGACTCTTATCTCCAATTAAGCATCATAAAAACTCTGGAAGGGTGACTCAAATGATAGAGCTCTAGTCTTGAGCACAAAAGCTCAGAGACAGTGCCCAGGCCTGAGTTCAAGCTCCAGGACCAGCATACACACACACACACACACACAAATATTGGTGTGGGCTGGGTGCTGATGGCTCATGCCTGTAATCCTACTCGGGAGACTGAGATCTGAGTATCATAGTTCAAAGCCAACCTGGGGAGGAAAGTCTGTGAGATTCTTTTTTTTTTTTTTTTTCTGGTTGTACACTGTCCTGCAGCTCTTCAGCTCAAGGCTAGCACTCTACCACTTGAGCTACAGTACCACTTGCAGCTTTTTCTGCTTATGTGGTGCTGAGGAATAAAACCCAGGGTCTCATGCATGCAAGGCAAGCACTCTACCACTGAGCTATCTTCCCAGCCCAGATTCTTTTTTTTTTTTGGTCCAGTAGTGGGGCCTGAACTCTGGGCCTGGGCGCTGTCCCTCAGCTCTTCAGCTCAAGGCTAGCACTCTGCCACTTGAGCCACAGCACCACTTACAGCTTTTTTCTTTTTGCTTATATGGTGCTGAGGAATTGAACCCAGGGCCTCAAGCATGCAAGGCAAGTGCTCTACCACTGAGCCACCTTCCAGCCCCCCAGCCCAGACTCTTATCTCCAACTAACCACTAGGAAACCAGAAGTAGAGCTGTGGCTCAAAGTGGTAGAACACTAGCCTTGAGCGAACAGTGCCCAGGCCCTGAGTTCAAGCCCCAGGACCAGCCAAACCAAACCAAACCAAAATGTTGGTGTGGCTCAAGTGATAAAGCACTAACCTTGAATGAAAAGCTAAGGGAGAGTACAAGATCCTGAGTTTAACCCCTAGTATCAATACATATACCAATATTTAAATTAGATATTATTTTTTGTTGTTGGTTGTGGGTCTTGAACTTAGGGCCTGGGTGCTGTCCCTGACCTCTCAGCCTCCTGAGTAGCTAGGACTACAGGCGTGAGCCACTGGCCCCTGGCTGATATTATTATTTTTTTTTTGTTTTGTTTTGTTGATCACGGGGCCTGAATTCTGGGCCTGAGCACTGTCCCTCAGCTCTTCAGTTCAAGACTGAGCCACAGCACAGCACCACTTCCAGCTTTTTCTGCTTATGTGGTGCTGAGGAATCGAACCCAGGGCCTAATACATGCAAGGCAAGTACTCTTAGCACTGAGCCACCTTCCCAGCGCGATATTATCATTTTTGAAAACAAACTATCTTTTCATATTCCATTATCTTACCATTTACAGATTGCACAGAGCTGTAGTAATTTTTTAATTTTATTATTAGAAGTGATATACAACGGGGTTACATTTACGTACGTAGGTAATAAGTACATTTTCTTTTGTACAGTGTCATGTTCCCTCACATGGTAAGTATTTGGGGAATATTTGCATATACCAATGTGCTGTGAGGATGGGACCTAAGTCTAAAGATGAAATTTCATATATACTTACACACTGTAGGTGTATATTACCTGAAGGTAATGCAATACAGTATTTTAAATAATTCATGGTATGGAATTTTCCACTTATGGCATCATGTTATTGCTCAAAAACCTTTAGGATTGTGGGAACATTTCAGACTTCAATTTTCAGATTGTGGCTGCTTATCCTATACTAGATTTTGAGGAAAATAACTTCTCCAAATGTGCATTTCCCTATCTGTATCTACTTCATAGAGTTGTTGCTTGGATTAAATGAGTAAAGAAACACTGGTATTTCTATGTATATAATAAATGCTTGCTTAGTTACAAGCCTGAAATGGGGGTGGGGGGAAACCACTCAAAAAGTATTTGCAATTAGTTGTTTATTAACCTGTGTCACAGGAAATCGGTAATTCCAAGGACCACCAAAATTTAAAATGTCTGCTGTAACTGATGGTGAGTTAGGATTTCCTATGCCTGGCTGTGTGCTTAGCGTTCAACTTGCCTTATGTCCCTAAACGTTCATAACAACCTCAAGTCAGTCACTCCATTTATAATTGAGAGGCACAGAGAGGTTGAATAATTTCTCAAGGGCACACAGCCAGCAAGCGAGGAAAGCGTATGTATGTATTTGTTATTTACTGAGTTCTTACCACGCCTCAGCAGGAGAGCAGCTCAGTTGCGACTATGATAAACAGTGTAGGCCGTAGCTTAGCCTACCAGGAAGGGGCGGGGCGGGGGCGGGAAGGATGAACAAACACGCACAGTAATAAATAGTTGCCACACCGGGCGAAGATCGCTTACAGTAAAGGCTCACTACCAAAAGAGTGCGACCGGATCTCAGACAACTGGGACCACGAAATGGGCCACAGTTATGGAACGAGTCCATGTACGTAGCAACCTATTACAAATGCGTCCCGTCCCCAAAACCGAGTGACACCCAAACGCAAAGCTGGGATGAGAGCGGAAGCCCGAGCCGCCTGGAAGCGCCCGTCGGACCCGAACTCCGCCGCCGCCGCCGCGAAGGG